GACACAGGCATGGGGTGCGGGACACAGGCATGGGGTGCGGGACACAGGCACGGGGTGCGGGGCACAGGCATGGGGTGCGGGACACAGGCATGGGGTGCGGGACACAGGCATGGGGCGTGGGACACAGGCATGGGGTGCGGGACACAGGCATGGGGTGCGGGACACAGGCGCGGGGCGTGGGACACAGGCATGGGGTGCAGGGCACAGGCGCGGGGCGTGGGACACAGGCATGGGGTGCGGGGCACAGGCATGGGGTGCGGGACACAGGCACGGGGTGCGGGGCACAGGCATGGGGTGCGGGGCACAGGCACGAGGCGCGGGACACAGGCATGGGGCGTGGGACACAGGCATGGGGTGCGGGGCACAGGCATGGGGTGCGGGGCACAGGCATGGGGTGCGGGGCACAGGCACGGGGCGCGGGACACAGGCATGGGGCGTGGGGCACAGGCATGGGGTGCGGGGCACAGGCATGGGGTGCGGGGCACAGGCACGGGGCGTGGGACACAGGCACGGGGCGTGGGACACAGGCACGGGGCGCGGGACACAGGCACGGGGCGCGGGACACAGGCACGGGGTGCGGGACACAGGCACGGGGCGCGGGACACAGGCGCGGGGCGCGGGACACAGGCATGGGGTGCGGGGCACAGGCGCGGGGCGTGGGACACAGGCACGGGGTGCGGGGCACAGGCACGGGGTGCGGGACACAGGCACGGGGTGCGGGGCACAGGCACGGGGTGCGGGACACAGGCACGGGGTGCAGGGCACAGGCATGGGGCGCGGGACACAGGCATGGGGCATGGGACACAGGCATGGGGCATGGGACACAGGCATGGGGCGTGGGACACAGGCATGGGGTGCGGGACACAGGGTGCGGGACACAGGCACGGGGCGCGGGACACAGGCACGGGGCGCGGGACACAGGCACGGGGCGCGGGACACAGGCACGGGGCGCGGGACACAGGCACGGGGCGTGGGACACAGGCATGGGGCGCGGGACACAGGCGCGGGGCGCGGGACACAGGCGCGGGGTGCGGGGCACAGGAATGGGGTGCGGGGCACAGGCATGGGGCGCGGGGCACAGGCATGGGGTGCGGGGCACAGGCATGGGGCGTGGGGCACAGGCATGGGGTGCGGGACACAGGTGCGGGGCGTGGGACACAGGCGCGGGGCGTGGGACACAGGCATGGGGCGTGGGGCACAGGCATGGTGTGCGGGGCACAGGCGCGGGGCACAGGCGCGGGGCGTGGGACACAGGCATGGGGTGCGGGACACAGGCATGGGGTGCGGGGCACAGGCGCGGGGCGTGGGACACAGGCATGGGGTGCGGGACACAGGCGCGGGGCGTGGGACACAGGCATGGGGTGCGGGACACAGGCACGGGGTGCGGGACACAGGCGCGGGGCGTGGGACACAGGCGCGGGGCGTGGGACACAGGCATGGGGTGCGGGACACAGGCGCGGGGCGCGGGACACAGGCATGGGGTGCGGGACACAGGCATGGGGTGCGGGACACAGGCGCGGGGCGTGGGACACAGGCGCGGGGCGTGGGACACAGGCATGGGGCGTGGGACACAGGCATGGGGTGCGGGGCACAGGCGCGGGGCGTGGGACACAGGCATGGGGCGTGGGACACAGGCATGGGGTGCGGGGCACAGGCGCGGGGCGTGGGACACAGGCATGGGGTGCGGGGCACAGGCATGGGGTGCGGGACACAGGCGCGGGGCGTGGGACACAGGCATGGGGCGTGGGACACAGGCATGGGGTGCGGGGCACAGGCGCGGGGCGTGGGACACAGGCATGGGGCGTGGGACACAGGCATGGGGTGCGGGGCACAGGCGCGGGGCGTGGGACACAGGCATGGGGTGCGGGGCACAGGCATGGGGTGCGGGACACAGGCGCGGGGCGCGGGACACAGGCATGGGGTGCGGGACACAGGCATGGGGTGCGGGGCACAGGCATGGGGTGCGGGACACAGGCGCGGGGCGTGGGACACAGGCGTGGGGCGTGGGGCACAGGCATGGGGTGCGGGGCACAGGCGCGGGGCGTGGGGCGCGGGACACAGGCATGGGGTGCGGGACACAGGCATGGGGTGCGGGGCACAGGCATGGGGCGTGGGACACAGGCATGGGGCGCGGGGCACAGGCATGGGGCGCGGGACACAGGCATGGGGTGCGGGGCACAGGCATGGGGCGCGGGACACAGGCATGGGGTGCGGGACACAGGCATGGGGTGCGGGGCACAGGCATGGGGTGCGGGACACAGGCGCGGGGCGTGGGGCACAGGCGCGGGGCGCGGGGCACAGGCGCGGGGCGCGGGACACAGGCGCGGGGTGCGGGGCACAGGCATGGGGCGTGGGACACAGGCATGGGGCGTGGGACACAGGCATGGGGTGCGGGACACAGGCATGGGGTGCGGGGCACAGGCATGGGGTGCGGGACACAGGCGCGGGGCGTGGGGCACAGGCGCGGGGCGCGGGGCACAGGCGCGGGGCGCGGGGCACAGGCGCGGGGCGCGGGGCACAGGCATGGGGCGCGGGACACAGGCATGGGGCGCGGGACACAGGCATGGGGCGCGGGGCACAGGCATGGGGTGCGGGGCACAGGCATGGGGCGCGGGGCACAGGCATGGGGCGCGGGACACAGGCATGGGGCGTGGGGCACAGGCATGGGGTGCGGGGCACAGGCATGGGGTGCGGGGCACAGGCATGGGGTGCGGGGCACAGGCATGGGGTGTGGGGTGCAGGCGCGGGGCACAGGTGCGGGGCACAGGCATGGGGTGTGGGGTGCAGGCGCGGGGCACAGGTGCGGGGCACAGGCATGGGATGTGGGGTGCAGGCGTGGGGCACAGGTGCGGGGCACAGGCATGGGATGTGGGGTGCAGGCGTGGGGCACAGGTGCGGGGCACAGGCATGGGGTGTGGGGTGCAGGCGCGGGGCACAGGCATGGGGTGCGGGGCACAGGCATGGGGTGTGGGGCGCAGGTGCGGGGCGCGGGGCACAGGCATGGGGCGCGGGACACAGGCATGGGGTGCGGGGCACAGGCATGGGGTGTGGGGTGCAGGCGCGGGGCACAGGTGCGGGGCACAGGCATGGGATGTGGGGTGCAGGCGCGGGGCACAGGCATGGGGTGTGGGGTGCAGGCGCGGGGCACAGGCGCGGGGCACAGGCATGGGGTGTGGGGCGCAGTTGCGGGGCGCGGGGCACAGGCATGGGGTGTGGGGCGCAGGTGCGGGGCGCTGGGCACAGGCATGGGGTGTGGGGTGCAGGCGCGGGGCACAGGCGCGGGGCAAAGGCATGGGGTGTGGGGCGCAGGTGCGGGGCGCGGGGCACAGGCGCGGTGTGTCCAGGCGCGGGTCGTGGGTCGCGGGGCACAGGCGCGGGGCATGGGGCGCGGGCACGGGGCGGCGGAGAGCGGGCGCGGGGCGCAGGATGCCTAGCGATGGAAACTGAGCATCTGACACCGGGCGCGGCGGCGCAGACCCGGAACTGGGCCATCCCAGAGACCCCTGGTTCTCCTCTTCCTGCGGGACAGGCTGTCTGGCCGCCCCTTACCACACCTGAAGTCCTAACCAGAGTGAAGGGTTTAGGTGGTATTTCTGAAGCTCCCTCCTGCTCCTTGCAACACCTGCCTGGGGCTGGATGTGGGCTCTGACGCAGAGCAGAGAAGCCAGCCTGGTGTGCACATGGGCCACCATTTTCTAGGTTTACACTTAACACTCACAGGCACAGAAGTGGGGCAACTATCAGGAAAGTGTGTGTGTGAGTGTGTGAGTGAGCATAAGGTGTGTGTGAACGGACGGTATGTGTGTGGTTTGTACATGGTGTGTGTGTGTGTGAGTGAGCATAAGGTGTGTGTGAACGGACGGTATGTGTGTGGTTTGTACACGGTGTGTGTGTGTGTGAGTGAGCATAAGGTGTGTGTGAACGGACGGTATGTGTGTGGTTTGTACACGGTGTGTGTGTGTGTATGAGTGAGCATAAGGTGTATGTGAACGGACGGTATGTGTGTGGTTTGTACACGGTGTGTGTGTGTGTGTGTGTGTGAGCATAAGGTGTATGTGAACGGACGGTATGTGTGTGGTTTGTACACGGTGTGTGTGTGTGTGAGTGAGCATAAGGTGTATGTGAACGGACGGTATGTGTGTGGTTTGTACATGGTGTGTGTGTGTGTGAGTGAGCATAAGGAGTATGTGAACGGACGGTATGTGTGTGGTTTGTACATGGTGTGTGTGTGTGTGAGTGAGCATAAGGTGTATGTGAACGGACGGTATGTGTGTGGTTTGTACATGGTGTGTGTGTGTGTGTGATGACACCAAGGCTACATAGGCTTGTGAACTACATCATCATTTCCCCGAGCAGTGTTAGTGACTAAGACCACATTTAGAGGAACTGTCCTCATCATGGTAGAAATTGTTTTTATCCTTAGTGCTATTTAAGTATTCATATTTTGAATGATTATATTCCTCTCTGACTATTAAAGCTTAATTTGAATGTTTAAAATTTTCATTTCTAAAGGTTGGAGTTCATGCAAATCTGAAGAGAAATACCTATGCTTTAGAAAGTTCCAGACAGAAGGATGTGATATAAAAGAACTAGGATAAATGTGAGGAAACAGGTAAGGTGGATGTGAGGGGAAAAGGCAGGCAGGCAGGCAGGATGGATGGATGGACAGGAGGATGGATAGATGGATGTGGAAAGAAGGCAGGCAGGATGGATAGATGTGAGGATAGATGGGCAGATGGATAGATGGATGTGGGGAGAAGGCAGGCAGGATGGATGGTTGGATAGATGGATGAGAGGGAAGAGGGCGGCAGGATGGATGGATGGATGGATGTGGGGAGAAGGCAGCATGCTTTCTCTGGAAGGGCCCTGTCCTGCATGCTACATCATACCACTGTCACAGGAGCTCTGGTCAAGGTACTTTTTCTTTTCATCAACACTCGATTTTTTGTGAACTACCCGTGACCACATTTTCAAAAGCGAAAGTTGTCCAGAAGGCTTACTTGAGTTCTTGTGAGCTGGTGGCCAGCATGCTTCGGATGCTTTTGTCCGCCAGTGGGCAGCCAGACAGACTGTAAGACAGGCCAGGAGGGGCAGTGAGTGACCCTCCAGGTGCAGGCCCGCCCGCCCGCACAGACACCACACAGTTGGGTTGGGAGGCCAGCGGTGTGAGCAAGCGTGGCCAGAAGCCGGGCTGCCGGTGCCCTTGGCCCCGGGGTCAGGGGCAGCAGGTGGGCAGACGCCGAGTAAGCTGGAGACAAGGAGCGGAAGGGCATGCGCGCGGACAGGACACGCCGCGCCCCGGGCTGGCCCAGCATCCCAGTGCCTTGCGGGTTGGGAGCACTTTTCCAGAAACTTTCACTGTCTCCAGTTTAGCTGCAACGTCTGCGAGGGGCGTGAGCGGCCGAGAGAGTGGCCGGCCGGGGCGGCGGGGGCCGAGGGTCAGCGGAGGCGGAGGTCAGCCGCGCGGCCCGCCGGCGCGCATGCCCAGACGGCCAGCGCCTCCCGCTCCGCACCTGACCGCGGCCTGGGAGCCGGACGCCGCTGGCGCGCATGCCCAGACGGCCGCTCCTCCACCAGACCGCGGCCTGGGAGCCGGGCGCCGCTGGCGCGCATGCCCAGACGGCCAGCGCCTCCCGCTCCGCACCTGACCGCGGCCTGGGAGCCGGACGCCGCTGGCGCGCATGCCCAGACGGCCGCTCCTCCACCAGACCGCGGCCTGGGAGCCGGGCGCCGCTGGCGCGCATGCCCAGATGGCCAGGCAGGTGCAGGTCCCGGCTTCGGAAAGAAGCTTCGGGAAGGGGGAGCTAGGGAGCGTCGGCGCCGCCGCGCGCTTACGTTATGAGGTCCTTCTTGCTCTCCTTGCACTGGGGGTACTTGGGCTTGGGGCTGGGGATGGTCACCTCCCCGGGGTACCTCCTCTCCTCCAGCGCCTCCTGGAACGGGTCCAAGTCTTCTGGCTGCGGGGGAAACCAGCTTCAGAGCGCGGGGGGGCGCGGGGGGCGCGGGGGGAACGGGGGCGCGGGGGGGTGCGGGGGGTGCGGGGGGCGCGGGGGGGGCAGGGGGGGCGGAGGGGGCGGGGGAGGCGCGGGGGGGGGCGGGGGGGCGGGGGGTGCGGGGGGCGCGGGGGGGGGGCGGGGGGGGCAGGGGGGCCGAGGGGGCGGGGGAGGCGCGGGGGGCGCGGGGGGGGGGGCAGGGGGGGCGGGAGGGCGGGGGAGGCGCGGGGGGAACGGGGGGGCACGGGGGGCGGGGGGGTCGGGGGGGGCGGGGGGCGGGGGGGCGGGGGGGGGTGGGGGGGCCGCGGGGGCGGGGGAGGCGCGGGGAGGGGCGGGGGGGGGGCGGGGGGCGGGGGGGCGGAGGGGGCGGGGGAGGCGCGGGGGTCGTGGAGGGGCGCGGGGCGCGGGGGGGGCACTCTGGGGGCGCGGTAGGGGGCGCGGGGGGGGGGGGGGGCGAAGGGGGTGCGGGGGGAAGAGGGGCGCGCGGGGGGGGGGGGCGAGGGGGACGAAGGGGGGCGCAGGGGGGGGCGAAGGGGGGCGCTGGGGGACGAGGGTGGCGAGGGGGGGCGGGGGGGCGAGTGGGGTGAGGGGGGCAGGGGCGAGGGGGGCACAGGGGGGGCACAGGGGGTGAGGGGGGTGGGGAGGAGGGGCGTGGGTGCAGGGGGTACGGGGGGCGTGAGGGGGGTGGGGAGGAGGGGCGTGGGTGCTGGGGGTACGGGGGGCGTGAGGGGGGCGTGGGTGCTGGGGGTACGGTGGGCATGAGTGGGGTGGGGAGGAGGGGCGTGGGTGCTGGGGGTACGGGGGCGTGAGGGGGGTGGGGAGGAGGGGCGTGGGTGCTGGGGGTACGGGGGCGTGAGGGGGGTGGGGAGGAGGGGCGTGGGTGCTGGGGGTATGGGGGGCGTGAGTGGGGAGGGGAGGAGGGGCGTGGGTGCTGGGGGTACGGGGGGCGTGAGTGGGGAGGGGAGGAGGGGCGTGGGTGCTGGGGGTACGGGGGGCGCGAGTGGGGAGGGGAGGAGGGGCGTGGGTGCTGGGGGTACGGGGGGCGCGAGTGGGGAGGGGAGGAGGGGCGTGGGTGCTGGGGGTACGGTGGGCATGAGTGGGGAGGGGAGGAGGGGCGTGGGTGCTGGGGGTACGGGGGCGTGAGGGGGGTGGGGAGGAGGGGCGTGGGTGCTGGGGGTATGGGGGGCGTGAGTGGGGAGGGGAGGAGGGGCGTGGGTGCTGGGGGTACGGGGGCGCGAGTGGGGAGGGGAGGAGGGGCGTGGGTGCTGGGGGTACGGTGGGCATGAGTGGGGAGGGGAGGAGGGGCATGGGTACTGGGGGTATGGTGGGCATGAGGGGGGTGGGGAGGAGGGGCGTGGGTGCTGGGGGTACGGTGGGCATGAGGGGGGAGAGGAGGAGGGGTGCGGGGTGCTGGGGGTATGGGGGGCGCGAGGGGGGCGGGGAGGAGGGGCGCGGGGGGGGGGGGGGGCTGCGGGTCGGGGTCGGGCAGGGTCGTGCTGCACAGTCCAATGCCGCTGGGTACGGGACAGTGACAGCCAACCCGCATCAACTGGAAGGAAGGGCCTCACCCAGTAGGCCTGCGCCCAGGCTCCAGTCCCTCTGTCCCTCTGTCCTTTTTTTTTTTTTTGTCGGCCGTGGGGCCTGAACTCTGGGCCTGGGTGCTGTCCCTCAGCTCTTCAGCTCAAGGCTAGCACTCTACCACTTGAGCCACAGCACCACTTCCAGCTTTTTTCTTTTTTTGCTTATGTGGTGCTGAGGAATCGAACCCAGGGCCTCAAGCATGCAAGGCAAGCGCTCTACCACTGAGCCACCTTCCCAGCCCCCGCCCCTCCTGTCTCTGTCTCTGTCTCCTCTGTCCCTCTGTCTCCTCTGTCCCTCTGTCTCCTCTGTCCCTCTGTCTCTCTATCTCTTCTCTGTCTCTCTGTCTCCTCTGTCCCTGTCTCCTCTGTCTCTGTCCCTCTGTCTCTCTCTCTGTCTCTCTGTCTCCTCTGTCTCTCTCTCTGTCTCCTCTGTCTCTCTCTCTGTCTCTTCTGTCTGTCTCCTCTGTCTGTCTGTCTCCTCTGTCCCTCTGTCTCTCTCTGTCTGTCTGTTCTCTGTCTCCTCTGTCCCTCTGTCCCTCTGTCCCTCTGTCTCTCTGTCTCCTCTGTCTCTCTCTCTGTCTCTTCTGTCTGTCTCCTCTGTCTGTCTCCTCTGTCCCTCTGTCTCTCTCTGTCTGTCTGTTCTCTGTCTCCTCTGTCCCTCTGTCTCCTCTGTCCCTCTGTCTCTCTGTCTCCTCTGTCTCTCTCTCTGTCTCCTCTGTCTCTCTCTCTGTCTCTTCTGTCTGTCTCCTCTGTCTGTCTGTCTCCTCTGTCCCTCTGTCTCTCTCTGTCTGTCTGTTCTCTGTCTCCTCTGTCCCTCTGTCCCTCTGTCCCTCTGTCCCTCTGTCTCTCTGTCTCTGTCTCCTCTGTCCCTCTGTCCCTCTGTCCCTCTGTCCCTCTGTCTCTCTGTCTCTGTCTCCTCTGTCCCTCTATCTCTCTGTCTCCTCTGTCTCTCTCTCTGTCTCCTCTGTCTCTCTCTCTGTCTCTTCTGTCTGTCTCCTCTGTCTGTCTGTCTCCTCTGTCCCTCTGTCTCTCTCTGTCTGTCTGTTCTCTGTCTCCTCTGTCCCTCTGTCTCCTCTGTCCCTCTGTCTCTCTATCTCTTCTCTGTCTCTCTGTCTCCTCTGTCCCTGTATCTCTGTCTCTGTCTCTTCTGTCTCCTCTGTCTCTCTGTCCCTCTGTCTCTCTGTCCCTCTGTCCCTCTGTCTCCTCTGTCTCCTCTGTCCCTCTGTCTCTCTGTCTCCTCTGTCTCTCTCTGTCTCCTCTGTCTCTCTCTCTGTCTCTTCTGTCTGTCTCCTCTGTCTGTCTGTCTCCTCTGTCCCTCTGTCTCTCTCTGTCTATCTGTTCTCTGTCTCCTCTGTCTCTCTGTCTCCTCTGTCTCTCTCTCTGTCTCCTCTGTCTCTTCTGTCTCTCTGTCTCCTCTGTCTGTCTGTCTGTCTCCTCTGTCCCTCTGTCTCTCTCTGTCTGTCTGTTCTCTGTCTCCTCTGTCTCTCTGTCTCTTCTGTCTCCTCTGTCCCTCTGTCTGTCTGTCTCTGTCTCTGTCTCTGTCTCTTCTGTCTCCTCTCTCTGTCTCTGTCTCTTCTATGTGTCTTTGCCTCTGTCTCCCTCTGTCTGTCTGTCTGTGTCCCCCTCTGTCTCTTTGTCTCCTCTGTCTTTCTCTGTCTCCCTTAGTCTCCCTCTGCCTCTCTGTTTCCCTCTGTCTCTGTCTCTGACTTGAAGAAGAAAGGCACCAGGTGGGTAGGCGCCTTGCTTCCATCCCCACCAAAGACTTCACTCGGCAGATGTTTCTCCACATTCTGCTTCTGCAACCCACACTGCATTTGATGCCACCTCCCATTTCACTCAGTATTGTTTTTTGTTTCTTTCTTTGTTCCCCCTTGTGAATAAAGAGTCATTATTTGCTGGGCATTGGAGGCTCAAGCCTGTCATCCTAGCTACTCAGGAGGCTGAGATCTGAGGATGGAAGTTCAAAGCCAATCTGGGCAGAAAAGCCCATGAGATTCTTTGCTTCAATTAGCTACCAAAAAAGCTGGAAGTGGAGTTGTGTCTCAAGTGGTAGAGTGTTGGCCTTGGGTAGAACACACCAAATGAGAGAGAAAGGTCCTGTGGTCAAGCCTCAGTACTGGCTTGTGTGCATACATATCCATACACAAAAGGTACCATAATTTTCAAGCTTACACATGGATGAAAATGTCCATCAAAAATGAAGTGATTTTTAGCCCAAGAGTCATTACATCTACCTTAGTGATTTGAATTTGACAATTTGAACTAATGCATGTCCCTGACGTAAGTGCTTATGTGCCATTGTTGATTCAGTCAAGTCTGGAATACAGTCTTCTGAACATTGGGTTCTTAGAGAAGAGACACTCTTGTTTTCAGAGAAAAGGGTTGAATTAGCTTCTCCTCCTTCTCCTTCTGTCAGTTGTGGGGTTGAACTCAGGGCTGGGTGCTGTTCCTGAGCTTTTTCACACAAGGCCAGTGCTCTATCACTTTGAACCACAGCCACTTCTGGGTTTCTGGTGGTTAGTTGGCCATAAGAATCTCATGGACTTTCTTGCCTGGGGCTGGCTTCAAACCCAGATCCTCAGATTTCAGTCTCCTGAGTAGCTAGGATTACAGGCATGAGCCACAGTACCCAGCTTTCTCTTCTTCGCAAGGCAGACTCTCTCTATGTCAGCCAGGCTGGCCTAGAACTTGAGGTCCTCATGCATAATGCCCCCGTGATGCCAGCAGCGGTCAGCCGCCGCACCTGTGGATGCCATTATTTAAGACTTACATAACTCTCTACTTACAAAGAAAACCGTTTCCTTTGAGAATGAACCTTATACATTTTCCTAGATAAATCATTTGTAAGGAAACATACTTGCTAGAAATAAAACTCTGCAAGAATCAGCAGTCTGTTTCAGTGAAAATGATGTCGGTCAGACTTTTCCCTGGGCCATCCAAGTCCATTCCAAGTCCTTGTCAGCTGAGGTTGTGTTTAAAGAGGGAGCTTGTTTTCTGCTAGGGCCAGGGCTCTGCTTAGGGCCCCCGAGTCAACATGGGCAGGGGAGGCAGGGGGAGGTGGTGGGAGGCAGGGGGAGGGAGGCAGGAGGCAGAGGAGGCTAAGGGGAGAGCCGGGGAAGGGGCTGGAGGAGGGGGGAGGGAGAGGTAAGGAGGTAGGCGAGGGGGGGAGGCAGAGTGGGGGGAAGTGGAGGTAGGGGAGGAGTGGGGGAGGCGGGGGTGGGGGGAGGCCTGGGAGCACTCACCGTGATGTCCTTGGGGTCGTCCTCGTCCACCCGCCGGGGCTTCATCTTGGTGTAGTCCACCGGCAGGTCCCAGCAGTCGCCCTCGCTCAGCTGGAAGCACCGGCTGCCCATCACGGCCTGCTGCTGCGGGGACATGGGCTCCAGGGGCGTCAGGACCGGGCAGCAGCTGTCCCTCGGCCTCTGCTTGTTCATGCTGAGGTCCAGGGTGCCGTTCTCGTCCACCTCCATGTCGGGGTTCTGCGGGCAGAGAGACGTGTGAGCCACAGGCTCACTTCCCAGCCCCCGGAGGGAGGGTGGCTGTGCCGGGGAGCTCCGCGCTCCCGCAGAATCTCTCGGAAGACAGTTCTATGTTCCACCACCATCTTCTCCCCCACCCCACCTCTTCCCTCCAGCACTTAGTTTTGTTTCCAGTTCAGATGCCTATATGACCAAATGCATGTGTGTGTGTTGTCTGCACACGTGTTTGTGAATGTACACGTGCATATACAGGTGCTCAAGGCACCCCTGCAAGTCTATGCATGTGCGCACACATGTGAACAGGCACACCAGGCATATTCACACGTATGTAAATATATCCACACAAGCCTTTGCATGTATGTTCAGGTGCTCACACGACCACATAAGTATGACCAATATGTTAGTGTATGCATGTGGAATGCATATGTGTGCATAAATATGCATCTGCTTAAAGTATTCCTTTAGTTTTGCTGATGATAATAGTTCAAGAAGTAGAGGAGAAGCGGGGAGGGTAGCTCAGCAGTTGCCTGGATTCTATCTAAACATGGCAAGTCAAACAAAAGGAGTTAGAAGGAGTGGAGAGAGGCTGGCACTTCTGTTCTATGGACTCCGGAGTCGAGGGGGTGCCCACCCCGAGAGGAGGCACCTCCAGGCCCTGCAGCAACGGTCTGGCCTGCTGGAGGAATCTGCACCTCCACCACTCTGCCAGGAGAGACTTAAGGAAGCACAGTGGTGTCTTCACACTGGCCAGAGCTGCTGAGAGTGGACCCGGTCAGGGCAGGTGAGGGACAGTGAGCCTGGAGAACCCCATTTTTCCCATTGTTCTCTCTCTCTGGCAAAAATGCAGCCCCAGAGCTGGAGTGCGGCTGTGGGGTCCCCACAGGGGACCAGGGCCAGGAAGTCCTCCCCCAGTGGGAACTGCTCCATGGATACATCCTGCAGGGCCAGGCTGCCTAGCGCCATCAACATGCAGTCCTGATTTCAAGCTTCGGAAATGATGCTGCTGGAATTGCTCTCTCATTCTTAGTACAATTTTGAGAAAGTAAAAAAGGAATGGAGAGGGCTTCCTGTCTTTTATTTTTGCCGTGGATTCCTCTTTCTGGCTATTTTTGGTTTTTAGCAGCCTGATCACCCCAAAAATCACTGTCTTGGAGTTGCTGCGCTGTCTGAGAATAAACAAATCAAAGGACAAAGCATTTGCCAAAACGTGGGGCTGCTGGCCTCTCAGTTCACACAGACGAGGAACTGTTGTGCGGGCGGGCAGTGTGCAGTCTTGGGTGCCCCAGGACACGGGTGCCCAGCCCAGAACCGCCTGCCCCAGGACACGGGCGCCCAGCCCAGAACTGCCTGCCCCAGGGCACAGTGCCCAGCCAGAGCCGCCTGCTCCTGGGCACGGGTGCCCAGCCTAGAGCCGCCTGCCCCAGGACACGGGCACCCAGCCCAGAGCCGCCTGCCCCTGGGCACAGTGCCCAGCCAGAGCCGCCTGCCCCAGGACACGGGCACCCAGCCCAGAGCCGCCTGCCCCTGGGCACAGTGCCCAGCCAGAGCCACCTGCCCCAGGACATGGTGCCCAGCCCAGAGCCGCCTGCCCCTGGGCACAGTGCCCAGCCCAGAGCCACCTGCCCCAGGACACGGTGCCCAGCCCAGAACCGCCTGCCCCTGGGCACAGTGCCCAGCCCAGAGCCGCCTGCCCCTGGGCACGGTGCCCAGCCCAGAGCCACCTGCCCCTGGGCACAGTGCCCAGCCAGAGCCGCCTGCCCCAGGACATGGTGCCCAGCCCAGAACTGCCTGCCCCTGGGCACAGTGCCCAGCCAGAGCCGCCTGCCCCAGGACACAGGCGCCCAGCCCAGAGCCGCCTGCCCCTGGGTCTGGGTGCCCAGCCAGAGCCGCCTGCCCCTGGGCACAGTGCCCAGCCCAGAGCCGCCTGCCCCAGGGCACAGTGCCCAGCCAGAGCCGCCTGCCCCAGGGCACAGTGCCCAGCCAGAGCCGCCTGCCCCTGGGCACAGTGCCCAGCCAGAGCCGCCTGCCCCAGGGCACAGTGCCCAGCCTGACCCGGGCGGCTGGGCTTCCCTCGGGCCACCCTGCGGCCGGCCGGGCAGCTGACCCCTTCTCTGCTGCTCTGGTGCTGCACAGGGACACCGCAACAAACGTAACGCTCCCTGCCGACCCCGGCCAGCCGTGGGACCTTGAGCTCACCGGGGCCACCGGCGTCCGAGGGGAAGAGGCGCGATGCCCTTCCTTACTACCCATCTTCCCGACCCAGAATAAACCAGTCCTGGTGTGGGGGCCGTGCGGGGAGGTGCGCGTGTCGACGTCTGGGTGGGCGTCTAAGGGCGTGGCCTGGCCGGGTGGGCGGGGCCCCTGCTGGGGTGGGCGTGACTTAGGTGATGCAGGGGTATCTTGACCAGGTGGGTGTGGCTGTGCACGGCAGGCTGGGATTTTGCATAAAGTAAGCCAATGTAAGGTGGCCTGGCATAGTGGGTGTGGCCCAACCCCAAAGGCTCTGCCTTCCTGTGGGCGTGGCCGAGTGTAGGCATGGATTGGGCACTGTGGGTGGGGCCTGGTCTGGGACGTGGCCTGGAACAGAAGCTGTGACCGGGTTTGGGGTGTGGCCTATCCCGGCGGTGTGGCCCTCCCTGGGGGCTTGGACTGTCCGGGGGAGGGGGCTTGGCTTGTCCCAGGGCGTGGCCTGTCTCAGGGACCTGTCCTGTCCTGAGGGCATGGCATGTCCAGGGGGCGTGGCCTGTCCCAGGGACGTGGACTGTCCTGGAGGCGTGGCCTGTCCGGGGAGGGGCGTGGCCCGTCCCAGGGGCGTGGCCTGCCCGGGGAGGAACGTGGCTGTCCCGGGGGCATGCCCTGTCCGGGGATGGACGTGGCCCATTCCGGGGACGTGGCCTGCCTGGAGGCGTGGCCTGTCCCAGGGACGTGGACTGTCCCGGGGTGTGGCCGTCCCGGGGGCGTGGCCTGTCCCAGGGGCGTGGACTGTCCCAGGGGTGTGGCCTGTCAGGGAGGGGCGTGGCCCGTCCCGGGGGCGTAGCCTGCCGGGGCGTGGCCGTCCCAGGGGTGTGGCCTGTCGGGAAGGGGCGTGGCCGTCCCGGGGGCGTGGCCTGCCGGGGCGTGGCCGTCCCAGGGGTGTGGCCTGTCGGGAAGGGGCGTGGCCGTCCCGGGGGCGTACCCGCGTGGCGCACAGGTCCTGCGGCTTGGTGGACAGGTTCTGCGGCATCTCTCGGCAGCGCGTGGACAGGTTGAGGATGGCGGTGGCCGCCATGTGCGCCGCCTCCATGTCGTGCGTGTAGTCGAAGCTGCTCTTGCTGCAGGTGCTGCTGGCGCTGCTGCCGCCGCCGCAGCTCAGGTTGCTGCTGCTGCTGGGCGCGTAGCTGCTGGTGGTGCTGCTGCTGGGGCTGGCGTTCTTGCAGTACCGCTTGGCTGCGGGGACAGGGCGGCGGTCAGTGCGGCGCGGCGGCCGGCGGCCAGCCCGGCGCGCCCCCTCCCGCCTGATCACGGAGGCGACCCCGGGCTCTGCTCCCAGCCCGCGGACCCGAGCCGGCGCCCCGGGAGCCCGGCCGGGCACGGGCCATGCAGAGGCAGGCCTCACCCTGCCTGCTGCCCGCTGTCAGGGTCCACCCGGACCTCCGGGGCACAGGGCAGCCTGCAGGTGACCCCCAGGGAGCGCTGACCGCACTGGGTGAGTGTCACAAAGACACAGCCTGGTCACAGCCCCTGAACAGCTCCGAGCGCTGACCACACCGGGTGAGTGTTACAAAGACATGGCCTGGTCACAGCCCCTGGACAGCTCCAAACGCTGACCACACCAGGTGTCATGAAGACACGGCCTGGTCACAGCCCCTGGACAGCTCCAAACGCTGACCACACCAGGTGTCATGAAGACACGGCCTGGTCACAGCCCCTGGACAGCTCCGAACGCTGACCACACCGGGTGAGTGTTACAAAGACACGGCCTGGTCACAGCCCCTGGACAGCTCCAAACGCTGACCACACCAGGTGTCATGAAGACACGGCCTGGTCACAGCCCCTGGACAGCTCCAAACGCTGACCACACCAGGTGTCATGAAGACACGGCCTGGTCACAGCCCCTGGACAGCTCCGAACGCTGACCACACCGGGTGAGTGTTACAAAGACACGGCCTGGTCACAGCCCCTGGACAGCTCCAAACGCTGACCACACCAGGTGTCATGAAGACACGGCCTGGTCACAGCCCCTGGACAGCTCCAAACGCTGACCACACCAGGTGTCATGAAGACACGGCCTGGTCACAGCCCCTGGACAGCTCCAAACGCTGACCACACCAGGTGTCATGAAGACACGGCCTGGTCACAGCCCCTGGACAGCTCCAAACGCTGACCACACCAGGTGTCATGAAGACACGGCCTGGTCACAGCCCCTGGACAGCTCCAAACGCTGACCACACCAGGTGTCATGAAGACACGGCCTGGTCACAGCCCCTGGACAGCTCCAAACGCTGACCACACCAGGTGTCATGAAGACACGGCCTGGTCACAGCCCCTGGACAGCTCCAAACGCTGACCACACCAGGTGTCATGAAGACACGGCCTGGTCACAGCCCCTGGACAGCTCCGAACGCTGACCACACCGGGTGAGTGTTACAAAGACATGGCCTGGTCACAGTCCCCTGGACAACTCCAAACGCTGACCACACCAGGTGTCATGAAGACACGGCCTGGTCACAGCCCCTGAACAGCTCCGAGCGCTGACCACACTGGGTGTCATGGAGACACGGCCTGGTCACAGCCCCTGAACAGCTCCGAGCGCTGACCATACGGGTGTCATGAAGACACAGCCTGGTCACAGCCCCTGGACAGCTCCGAGCGCTAACCACACCGGGTGTCATGAAGACATGGCCTGGTCACAGCCCCTGGACAGCTCCGAGCGCTAACCACACCGGGTGTCATGAAGACACGGCCTGGTCACAGCCCCTGGACAGCTCTGAGGGAAGATGCCCTGGATCCAGCCCCCTGGACAGCTCTGAGGGAAGATGCCCTGGATCCAGCCCCCTGGACAGCTCTGAGGGAAGATGCCCTGGATCGCTGTGGCACCGGGCCTGCTCTGGTCACGGCTCTCGGGGGCCTGCTCTGGTCACGGCTCTTGGGGGCCTGCTTTGGCTGGTCTCTGCACAGCGACCAGCAGCTTGTTCTGGGAGGCCGACTCAGTGCTCTCCTCCCAGGAGGAGGGACAAACCCAAACATTAACCAACCACTCATCCAGCCCCACAGGCTCAACGAACAATCCAGGGAGCAAACCCACACCCTCACTTGCAATACAAAGAAAAACCAGAATGGAGTCACCGCTGGCCACCTGAGCTGGGATTCCCACCAAATGCTGCACTCGTAGGATGTTAAGGAGAGGGATGCCATTGGCAACATGTTACACGCTCAGTCCACCCTGACCAACAGAGCCCCAGGTGGGAGCTGGCCATTTCATACCCAGCCCAAAACTTGGAAGCAAGAGACCACTGTTTAGCCTGACCTTGAAAGGTCAGGCTCCCTCAGGAGTGGCGAAATGCATGGAGCCACCTGTGAACAGCCTTGCTCCTGCAGTGCTAGTCCACCTCAGCTGGGCCCTGGAGACCCACTTGCATGCATACACTGGGCACCAGCAGTCAAGGAGGCCCGGGGCCGGGGCTGCTCTGAAAGCCCTGTGCAGGGGGCAGAATGGAACATGGAGTGGGGTGAGTCTAGCACAGCCCATGGCCAGGCTCTGACCCGAACTCCAAGGAGGTGCTGGACCGCAGGGGGCCGGCAGGACACAGCAGCGGCTGCTGCTGTCCCCTGGGCATTGTGGCCACATTGTGATGCCACCCAACCTATCTCTGTCTGTGAAGCAAGGCTCACAATTCTACATCATTTCAAATCTCATATAAAAAGTAAGAATAACTGGACACTGGTGGCTTGTGCCTGTAAGCTGAGTTATCCAGGAGGCTGAGATTTGAGGGTCATGGTTCAAAACCAGCTGGTCAGGAAAGTCTGTGAGATTCATCTCCAATTAACTACCACAAAGCTAGAAGTGGAGCCATGGTAGTGCACTCTACTTGAGGAAAAAATAAAGCTCAGTGCCCAGTCCCCGAGATCAAGCCTCAAGACTAGCTTGCACGCACACACGGAAAATGAGAATTAGAAAGTTAAAGACCATATAGAGGGTTTTTCTTCCTAAAATCTGTTAGTACTGGGGTTTGAGCCCAGAGCATCTTGCCTGCTAGGTGGGTGCTCTACCCCTTGAGCCACCTCTCCAGCCCATTTTTGCCTTACCTGGCCTCAGCCCATTGTCCTCCTACCTACAGACTCCTGAGTAGCATAGGTGTAAATTGCTGAGTCCATCTTTATAGATGGACCTGGAGCATTGCCAACTTTTACCAGGCCGGCCTTGAGCCCAGCTCTCTCAGTCTCTGCCTTCTAATTACAGGTGTGGCTGCTCATAGCTATCTTTCTACTAAAAGAATTGTTATTTTTTTAAGATGAACAAGTATCTGACTTTAAATCATTAATAACATTTCCTGTCTGTGATGGCGCATGGTGGGTGGAGCTGGTATTGTGTGTGCTGAGTCCGGCTCTGGCTTTCCTGTCTGTGATGCCGCGTGGCGGGTAGAGCTGGTGTTGGTGCTCTGAGTCCCACGCTGGCTCGTGGCTGAGGGCACGTGAGCTTGCTGCAGTGCAGTTGACAGCTGGGTGCCTGGCCACCCTTCTCCTTCAGGCCTGACGGAGCCGTGGCTCTGTCAGTGGCACACATGTGTGTCTGTTCCTGAGCGGACGAGCATTTGCCGCACTTGCGGTGCCCCGCGGGGGGACTCTGGGGGAGTGGGTCTGCTTCTCTGCTAGAGGCCAGCAGGTGCTGAGGGCTGGGCAGCAGCTGGCTCGTTAGCACATCCAGCGCCGTGGCCGCAGCGTCCTGTGGCTGGCATGGGCAGACTGCAGTGTCCTGTGGCAGACGTGGGCAGGCTGCAGCCACACTTCTAGGCATTAAGTATGGCTGCCCAGGCAGATGGAAAACCCAGGGCCAAACTGCCAACCAGAACCTTCCGTTGGCCTCTCTACTGAGGTCCACAAACAGTGCTGGCACATCAGTTTCCTTGAGCTCTAGAGACCCCTGCAGGGGCAGACAAGGCTATCCAGAGGGTGGGCAGGCGGGAAGGCGAGGGCTGGGTCCCGCTGAAGCCAGGTGTGTCCGCTGGGGCTGCAGTCACCCTGGGCGGTCTGGGCCTCACCTCCGCTGGTGTCCTCACTCTGTCGGTGCACCACAATCCAGGGTTCCAGGGACACAGGAAGCCTGGCGTTCTGGCAGCACACCGTGGGCTAGGACCTGCAGGGCAGAGGGTGCTCTGGTGGGGTCTGGATTTCCGTCCATCAGCTGCAGGGCCCTGGACACGGTGATGCCTCATGTGGCTCGAGGACCGGACCTCCGCCCACTGGGGCTCACTCTGCGGGGACGGCAGGGTGTCCGCTGGAGGCGTGAGCTGGGGCTGGGTGGGACACGGAGCTCCCTGGGGGCTGCAGAGACTGCCGTCCTGTGTCTCCATTGCGTGTCTCTGTGGAGGGCAGGGCAGGGGCCTGCAGGGCGGCAGGGGTCAGTTGGAGAACCTCTGCGGAGAGTCTGCTGGCAGCTCACTGGGGAGGGAGGGGGCTGCCCGGGGCCAGGAAGCCCTGGGGTTGATGACCTGAATGCAGGCAGGGTGGTGGCTGGCAGGGTGAGAGGGCGGACGGAGAGTGCGGGTGGAGTTCGTGTCTGGAACCTTCCATCTCCTGGGTCTGTGTCTGTGAGATCCCGTGGGGCAGCCCAGGACAGATGAGCGGAGCTGGTTTAGACCAGTTCAGCAGCTCTGCCTGGTGGACCTGAGGCTGTGGGGTTGTCGCTGTGGCTGCTGGGCTCTGCGTGGTCCGGCCGAGGTCTCAGGAGAGCAGGAGGGGCCACGGGCCACTAACGGTGGCCACGGAGGTTTGCCTGTCACCGTTTCCACATGTCCTAAGACATTTTCTTTTCTTCTTCAACTATCTAACGTTATAAACGCCATTTTTTTCCTCAGTAATACTGGGGTTTGAACTCAGGGCCTTGCAAGTGCTCTACCATCTGAGCCACATTCTGCTTTCAGTTCATTTTTCAGAGAGGATCTTGTGTTCTGTACAAGGCTAGCCTTGGGATTTCATTTTGCTCATCAGCCTCATGAACAGCTAGAGTTAGAGCCAGGCACCATCATCCCTCTCTTCCTTTTGAGCAGAGTTGTGTAAACTTTGTCCTACTGGCTTTGAACTATGGCCCTCCTATTGCTGCTCCCCCCGAGTGGCTAGTTCCTAGGATTATAGACATGACCCTTAAGAGCATTCTGTTTTGATTTTGTGTGTGTGTGTGCCAGGACTGGGGCCATAGCTCAAGGCCTTGTGATCTTGCTCAGTTTTTC